AGGGAGACACATTATTTGTTTCTAGAGAAGGAAATTGTCTCTGAGTATCAGAGGCAGGTGGTTTTTCTCTTAAAGACCTAACATTCTAAATGATATGAATCTATAGAATATTCCAAAAGTAAATAAAACTTAAAAACTAGAAACATTTTTCTTTCTGACAGTGATGATCGGCATGAGAGATGCAGAAGGCAAGAAACTCATTCTCCAATGTGAAAAGCTTAGACAAATGAGATCTTTTACCTTTATGACACACACATGCTTGCACAGTCTGAATTGTCATTTGCTCTACATTGCTGGTCTAACAATTTGTTATTCATCTTTCAAGATTCTCATGGAAACTCTGAATCTGTGTTTACTCTAGCTTTCTGCAAAGTTAGTTCTATCCTTCAATATAACTTTTTTTTTAATGTACTTAGTCCTAAGCCTGCTTGCCCGACTGCATGTTAGTTTTTTTTGTTTTTTTTTTAACATCATCTCTGAATGCAAAGCTACTGGTGATGGAAATAGCTCCCTTTAGCACATTGATATGGTCAGGTCAGGCTCCTCCCAAAGAAGTCACCACGCCTTTAGAACCCAGGTCAGAAAAATCCTGGCACTGTGGCTTCTAAGAACAGCTGGTTAAGAAAAAGGCAGCACCAGGCAGGTTCTACAGTGCACAGTGAGTTCCGGAGAGAATGTAACCCGTTCCTGGATTCCCCTTGCCATTCCTTCACTGTTGCTCAGGTTGACTATGGGATAGACATCTACACAAAAGAGGTGTTGCTATGGAAATGTCTCCAAGTGAAAGACAACAGAGAATTCTCAAAGGAAGAATCATGCACAAAGATGCTGTGTGGTTATGAACGAACAAGAAAACATTAAATTATTATGGGAATTTAAGATTGCAATCAAAGGCAAGGATCAAAGTAAGAATAAAATTGTTGAAACTGATTGTCAACACATCAAGGGCAAAGCAACTTCTTTAACTAAGTCTGAACTGATTCCATCTACCTACCAGCAATAATACGTCACTGGCCAGTTTCTCTACTGAGGGTCAGAAATTCTGGGACCTAACCATGTCAGTGTTCCTTCTTCTACTCCCCACTAACTGCTGGTTGCTGTCCCAAGACTGTATAATGAACCCTCTTCTGTTTCTACTATTCATTACACAGTTTAAAAAATACTTACACTCAGCTTTTCAGGTGAATTTGCAAAACACAACAGTCTATTTTCTTCCCATGACTCTTCACAGCTTTGCTCTATCCCCCACCTCACCCCCACTCCAAGTTTTTCCTTTGACTATGGTTTTCCTGCTGATTAGAATGTCTTTCTGTGCTTTGTCTGATAAGCAACCCAAAGAACATCTCCTTCAGGACCCTTCTCAGGACAAGCTCTGTCCACAACGTTCCCATAATCACACTCGGGCTCTGCAGAACAACAGAGTGGCTCTCACTTCCCAAGGTGGCAATGTGTAAATGGCATGGTTCTGCCATGATTGCATTCTGCTTAGGGTGACTCGTCTGTTCTTCCCTTGCACCAAACCAGAGGGGGAAAAAAGAGGTCGTAGATCTGCATGGCCATTGTCTCATTAGTGTCTAGGAGAATATCAAGGATACATCAGATACTAGATATAGTCTTATTAAGAAATAAGACCAAAAGAGGGAAAAAATCCAAAATCTTTAAATTTGGCCTTTCACACGGACGTCAATGATGACCTTACTGATACTCTTTTTGGAAACTTCACTAAATACACTAGTGGCAGATTATTTGGTATCAGTCTCAAACCTACAGCATTCTTGTGTGTCGTACTGATACAAGTCTATTTTCTCTGTTATATTGAGTTATAGACATTAAAAGTATCTGTTATGGGATAAGTTGTGTCAATGTAAAATGAGGTGATGAGGGTGAGTCCTAATCCAAAGTGCATGTTGTCCTTCACATACCATAGTCAAGACACATATGCAGACGGGCAATGCTAAGGAGCATGAGAAAATCACAGACAGAAGGCTGGGCAGTATTACAAAGAGCTCTCAGAATGGAGTTAGTGTGTTAGTGCATTGGTATGGTGCATGTGGAGTACAGACTGTGAGGAAGTACATTTCCAGGGTTGAAGGAAATCATAATTGGTGAGTGAACCTCTAGCAAACTACTACGGCACTACATTCTTCTGGGACCCAGTTTAAAACGTTCACAGTCTCTGGATCCCAGTTCCCAGCTACTGGAATTCTGACCATCTTCCACTAAGTGACTCTTACTCATCTGGATTTGTGTCCCAAAACCACTAGAGTCTTAGAGGTCACCTCTTCTCTCAGAAGCAGAACAATTATTTCCCATGTCTCTCCTACTGTGGAATATCCCTAGCACATGTCCTGAACATGCCACCTCTTTTTGGTTCATTATTTTCTAGGGCTTCTCCTAATAAGTGCTTAACTGTAAACAAGCCCTGTGACATCATTCATCTTCATATTGTTTGCAATTTGGGAGGCAAGTTTAAGTATTTGCTATATGCCTGCTGAGGACGTAATAAAAAAGGAAAAAAAAAACATAGTCATTACTATTTTTTGAAACATTTCCTTATTGCCGGGCAGTGGTGGCTCATGCCTTTAATCCCAGCACTCGGGAGGCAGAGGTAGGCGGATCTCTGTGAGTTTGAGGACAGCCTGGTCTACAAGAACTAGTTACAGGACAGACTTTAAAGCTACAGAGAAACCTTGTTTTGAAAAAAAAAAATCCTGAATATCAAGCCTCCCCAGGTATTTTTGGAGGCTTACTGTGATAAAATCTTATTAATTTGTATTATACTCTTGATATATTGAGATACCAATATATTCTTATTTCTTTCATGGCCAAATGGAGTCTAAAAGCATTAAATAATATTTCTGTGAAATGTGAGCATAATAGAGCTCAGATAAACTTAATCTATCTGTTCTGTGATTTCTCCCGGTGAATTCATACCCACATTACAAAGTCCAAACCTAACAAGCTTTGTTAATGAAATCTCTGATTACCCAAGACAGAAATAACAGAAATATTTCAAATTCATTCCTTATTCCAGTTTATATTTTATGTCTCTTTCTACTCACTGTCGGATTTTATAGAAGACTTCATACTTTTTAAATGCTTTGGTTGGAACTTAATGTATCCCTTGATGCTGATTTATCCAATATGTTGTCCTAAATGCAGTGTTAAGAAGGGGGATGATCAGACAGTGTGGGCTCTACTTCATCGTGGGATTAATCCTATGATGGATGTTTCTTTGACAGCATCATTGCAAGGGAAAGAAACTTTTTTTATTGATTTTTATTGAGCTGTACAATTTTCTTTGCTCCCCTCCCTGCCTCTCTTCTCCCTCTCTTAAACCCTCCCCAAGGTCACCAAGCTCTCAATTTACTCAGGAGATCTTCTAAGGGAAAGAAACTTTTCAAGCTGGGGCCTGATGGGAGGAAATACTTGGTGATAACTGTTAATACATTTTGTTATAATAATCTGTTAACAGATTTTGTTGTACAGCTTTGAAGACCACAGAAGGATACTTTCCTGGAGGCTATACCTTATCCCAAGTTTGTTTCTGGTCCTCCCTGCTTCCTACCCATCAAAAGATGGGCAGATTTCCTCTGCCTCCTGCTCCCAAATGTGATTCTCAGCTTCCCTCAGGCCTAGAGCTCATGGACTGACAGTTCTGGAACAAGGAGACCATCAAATCCTTCATGCTCTAAGGTTCTCTTCAGACCTTTCGCCACAGTTCCAAATGATGAATTAACACATGAAGCAAAGGGCAGACTAGAAAATAGGATATGTTTTTCTATTACAGAAAAGTCTAGTCTTCAGTGCGAATTCATTATTTGCTAAACCAAAGGTCAAAGTTATCTCGTGTTTAAATTAACATAGCAAAATCTATGTTAAATGAAACTGGTATTAGTTGTTGTATATTTAATCATTCATATTCTGTTTCAAAATCCTTAATAGGCACAAAATTATCTAGTATCAAAGGACACATGGATTTAAAGAGTTAATGGAATAAAACTAGAAAAATGAAGGGAAAAAAATCACCAATTAAAGCCCATAAAACTAAAATGATTATGTGAACGTATGTAATACTGTGAGGATTACTATCATAAAATGAGATTAAGCAATTAACTAAAATGAAAAAAAAGGGCAAGATATTTTGCATGTCAATCACAAACATTATAGGGTACAGAAAAGCCATTTGAATCACTACAATCTCACTAATTCTTTTCCTAAAATTTATTGCAGCTAGCCTTGTTAAGAGATACAAGTAGGGCCGGGCGGTGGTGGCGCACGCCTTTAATCCCAGCACTCGGGAGGCAGAGGCAGGCGGATCTCTGGGAGTTCGAGGCCAGCCTGGTCTACAAGAGCTAGTTCCGGGACAGGCACCAAAGCTACAGAGAAACCCTGTCTCGAAAAACCGAGAGAGAGAGAGAGAGAGAGAGAGAGAGAGAGAGAGAGAGAGAGAGATCCAAGTAGCATTTGCAGACATAGCCTCACACTCTGCTGAGAAACTATCACTTCGCAGAGTTTCAGAGTCTTAATTGTTTGTCTTGGTCCAGATTCCCAGAGCACTAGTAGAGCTGTGGTGTGTTTTCTGGAATCATTTTGCTTTGGCAACCAGAGTCTGATTTTAGCAATTCTTTTCACAGCAATATAATTTTAACTTGCAGTAACAACATGAACAACACGAAAGGGTTAGCTGCATACTTGTGAATCCACTCCTAAACTTACTAGATTCAGTCAGGTCAACATCACTTTGAAAACACATAAGTATTTCTGAAACTTGTCCTGGCCACATGCCTAAATATAAAAGTATAGACATTCCTGGTAATTAGGCGGGCAATATGGGGTAAATGAGATGAGCAAGCAAATCACTCTGCCTCCTACATTAGTGCTAATGAGAGTGTGCAGTTAATGTTCTCTCTCTTCCTCTCGGTTTCATGTCCTCTGTGGGGTCCATTCCAAAGTATTTGCTTTTGTACTATGCCCCACCAAGGAAAATACTTACTTACCTCACTTATGAAGGATTTGGCTGTGGCAGGATTCATAACAAGGATGGCTCGCCTAAGAGTGTCTCGGTAGCGATTCAACTCCTCTATCCTCATGGTGTCAAAGAGGGTGGTGATCATTTTATTGATGTTGTTTTCCACCTTTTGAAGGGCAACATCCATTCCCTGCTGAGATACTTTGTCCAAAAACTCCTGTATCCCACGGATATCTAGAAACATCATAACACAGGATAAAAAAAAATCTTATCATTTCTGAGCAGTTTATTGTTCAATAAGGCATAAATTCTCAGATTTATTTATGATTTGGCTTAACTAATATCTGTACATGTAAAAATATAGGAGTTAATTAAAAGGGATTTATTTCTCTCTACTTATTATTGTAAATTAATTAGTGGAAAGAGTTGGTACATGGCAGAGAGGGGTGTAAAAGAGGTTCATTTCAATAAAGCATGACTAATTTCTTCAGCATTAAAGACGAATAAACAGAAACAGTTTGTTAAGCTTTGGTACTGAATCTCACGGTGGAAATGGGTTATATATATAGCAATCAATTTTAACATATCTTGGTAAATGAATTTAAGGTTACCTCTTCTGAAGGCAAAGCATTACAGTAACATTTGGAGACATATTAAGGGAAAACTATTTCCTCTTGACCAAATGAATGAAATCTACATCTGGCCTAAAGAGAGACCTAATATACCTAGCTACACAAAACATAATTTAGTTGAGCAACTTGTCTTAGAGATCAACCTAAGGAAGGCAGTATCACGTAATGCCATAAGAAAGAGATGAGAGGAATAATTATCCCCTTAATGAGATAATGTAGTTTCCTCTCCAGAACCCTTGTGTGTGCTGCCAGGACCCTGTTCCATCTCTCCACGTTTCCGCTTCAGGGGATACAACTTCATTTTTCTTCCTTTCTTCCTCTTTCTTTTTGATGTTAGGCAGAGCCTAAGTATATTTTCCCTGGTACTTTGGACCTTTTGGCTCCCTTCCTTTTTCCATGTAGTTGTTTGCAGATGCTTCCCACAGCTCTCAAAGGCACGGCCTTCACTGTTTTTCTTTTCCATAGCCCTCTTCTCTGCAGAGGCTAAATTTACAGCTTTCCCACCCTGGAACTTTTTTTTTTCCAATTTTAATAAAATTGTTTTTGTACTTCAAAAATAAACAAAACACACTTCATTAAATTTCCTCAAATTTCTTATATCATAGAAACCATTCATTTCATTTATCATAATCACAAAATGAGTTACTATCATTACTGTAAAGAAATTATATTAGATCAATTAGCAGGAAGGTCATATTAAAATGTGACATTAAAGGGGGAAATAATGCCATTCATGACAAATGAATTTGAATAACATTTCTCAAAAATAGATAAAACTGCCATTAAATCAACATTCATAATATAAATAGAATATTTTGAGATGCTTTCTTCCAAGCCACTGAGTGCTTACATACAACAAACTACATTATCAAATATTTAAATCTGAATATCCTGTAGGAGATAAAATAATTTGGTTTTAGAACGATGGAAGTGGGTGACATCATGTGTATAAACAAATGAAACTGTATTTTAAGTATTTTTGAAACAACTATCCAAGATATTTATAAAACAATTTCAAATATGAAAAGTTCTAAAATGTTCTCAAATATAAAGTACTGTGAAAATACCAAGTTTGAGTAAGGGAGATAAAATACAATATAAAAAGTAATTATCAATATTTCAGTCTTATTAGTTCACAGATTATATTTTTCATTTTGTGCCCATGGCATAAAAATTTTAAAGCTAAAATAGTTGGTTAAGAATCAGAAATGAGAAACTTAACACCTATGGAATCTATGTCAAAATTTCTAATCTTGTGTGATTGCATGCCTGCAAAATTTTCCTCTCAAGTGAAATAATTAATTTGAAAGCAGTAAGAAAGCTTATATGGCAAGAACTCAAGAGCTTCCAACATAGAAAGTGGTATTTATGCATAATAAATTTTTTTATTTGCAAAGTTACAAGTTAGTTTTTAAAAACTGTGCTTTTATCAATAATTTCAATTTTACAAAAGTAGTGATATGTTCATCTCCATGAGAATTCTGTCTATATGTTATAAATCTGAGCTAGCAGCATAAAAGGATAGAAGGCTCCGTGGACACAGCAGAGCCAGAGACAAAGGCGTGGGAATAATGAAGGCTAAACAGCCAAGTCCGAGAGTATCTGACAGTATAATGCTAACAGGTGGTCTGAAAAGGGTTAAATCTAACGGAGCAGAGAAGAAAGTGGTCTATAAATAATATCAGGATTGTGAACATGCAAAGCAGTGTTTTTAACACTTTGGGGTCAATCACAATCACTTAAGAGAATTAAAAAAAAGCCTGGGTCCATCTCAGAATCCAGAACATAATTCTAATTTTTAATTGTCAGGTTTTATTCTACTTTATTTGAATTAGTTAAAATTTCATGTAAATAAAACATAAAAGCAAAAAGAACATTGGAAAGGATCTGAGATCCTCCAGATTGTTTACACAATGAGTTCTGATTTTAAAAGTAAAATGTTGGTGCAACTACTCCTTCACTTAAAAAAAAAAAATGTTTCTTTAAAGGAAACCCTGATTGCTCTTCGGGCTGTGGAGGGAGGGGGAATTGATTGTGGGAAGGGGGAGGGAAATGGGAGGCGGTGGCCGGGAAGAGACAGAAATCTTTAATAAATAAATAAATTAAAAAAAAAAGAAAAAAAAACAAAAAAAATGTTATTCACTGACTAGGTGGTATTGGCACACACCTTTAATCCCAGCACCTAGGAGGCAGAGGTAGTTGTATCTCTGTGAATTCAAGGCCAGAGTTTTGTAACCCAATGTAAATTTCTGTTATAAAGGAATCAAGCAATAAGTTTTTTCCACATCTGCGGATGATACAGCTGATTACAAGCAGCAACTGGTATGTATGAGAAGAGACAGATCCAAATCATGCTATTAGCAGATGTGTATGAAAGATTCATTAAAATAAAAAGTAGGCCTTCGGGTTTGTTAATTAAACATGAACATAATCAACCATCTCAGTTTTTCAGTTGGAATATCTTCATTCTGAAGTTCCAAAAGCTACAGAAATGAAAGAAAATGGTTGGTGACCTCAAGGAGCTGCCAGACTGATTGCACCTGTCAGTTGTGACTATTTCTTGATAACAGCATGTTTCCAAGCTGTGGCTAGTCCTACTTACCAGATAAATACATAAAAGCTAGTGTTAGCCTGCTCATCAACTGAGTTATTACATGTAAGATTATAGGCAAATGCAGTCTCCCCTGAACACCACAGAGGGCTGTGTGATCAGTAGAAGATTGATCTCTTCTCCTGAGTGCCCACATCCCAAACCCTGTAATATCTGGATATAAACAAATCATATTCCATAGAGAGATCAAGCCTGAAGGTGGGGTTGAGGTAAGGAATTCAGTGAGATCAACATAGAAAGACAAACTCCATAATTAGGTGAGCCCAGTATCATCAGGAGGACCTAAAGTTGGAAGGGAGAAGCAAAGAAAAGGAGACAGCAAAGGGTTTGGAGAGGGTAGATGTGGCTTATCTGAGGAAGAAGTTAAGGAAGGTGGGGGTCTCTGGAAGATGCATAAGGAAGAGAAGTGGATTCTCCCTAATATCTAGGAGAAGAGTGCATGCTTGCTCATAGCTTGTATTTATCATGCTCAGATCTGATGACAGACTTCTGACCCATTGAACTCTACATAACTTGTGTTGACCCTCCAAATTAATTATAATCTCTAGTGCCAGCAACAGAAATCAATGTGAAATCATGCTTAACTTTTTAAATAGGCATGTTTCTAATTAATATCCACTGAATTTTGGTGCAGAATTGTCTGTATTCTGTCAATCATATTTGGAATAAATGCTGATTGGCCAGGCAGGAAGTATAGGTGGGAAAACCAGACAGGAAGTAGAAATGATGCAATGAGAACAGGAGAATGCTGGGAAGGAGGAAGTTGATTCCTCCCAGTCCAGTGCAGACTGACAGAGGAAGCAGGATGTGACTTGCCAGCTGAGAAAAGGTACCAAGCAAAACTAGATCAGAATAATGGGTTAAATAAGCTACAAGAGCTAATACAAGAGCCTGACCTAATGGGCCAATCAGCTTTATAACTTATAGAGATCTCTGTGCGATTTTCTTTGGGGTTTGCTGGCTATGGGGTACTGGGCGGGACAGAAACCACCAACAAGCAGGCCCCTCATATTGCAAATTTAATTTCAGAATCACCCAGAAATGCTTCTGTGACTTTATAACCTTGATCTACTCCTGTGATCTCTGACATTCTGACAGAGTCCATGATGGTCCAGAAGACTGGGACATAGTTTTTGGGTTTGTGTCACAGACCTGAGACAATCCTGAAGACTACGGATCCTGTCTTAGTAAACTAAGTAGCCCAGTCATTCTGCATCACTTTGTGCCTGTCAGTGCTTTGCCTGATCTTCTTGCTGTCCTTAGGGAGGAAAGCATGGGTGAGTCCCAACTTAGTGTCACCATTGCTCTTAAGGAGTGTTGATTTCATACTGCCACTTCCTTCACATCTATGGAGTCCAAAGTTATTGTCTTAATTTTCAGATGGAAAATGATCTTCTGCACCACTTCTAGTCACACTTACCATTTTTCTTTTTGGGAAGAGTTTCTTTGTGTACGGGAAACAAACTGCATTTGATGTCAGAAAACCAGCCTTGGGTCAGTAAGTTGCTTCTACGGTAAGCTCTGTTCACTTGGAATCACGTTCATAATTGATGTCTCCTCTGTTCATTTTTTTTTTCAGATTTCATCTCTCTTCAAAGAGCAAGATGCTGTTTTTTTTTTACTTATAAAATAACTCTTGTTTCATCCTGTGATTTCACATGTATTTAGAGTTTTACATTCTTACCCTGATGATCCTATTGTACCAGGCTAGTCAGCCCGAATCCTTGGTTTTTACAAAACAAGTGAAATTGAGTAAAGCCACAATGTAAACAAATAGCTTCTTTTGTATACTGAATTGTAATGTAATTTTATGGTTGCAAGAGTCAGAGAATCTGGTTAGACAAGGGAAACAAAAAGCCAGCCTCTTCCCTATAAGTAATGGAATTTTTCCAGTCAATTACAAATAAAAAGAGGAGGAAGCAGAAATGAAGGAACAAATGCAGGGAGGGAGTTCTAACTTTTAATACCTAGTGTGTGACTCATTTCATGTA